TTTTATTTATCTTTGTATTTATTCATTTTCTCTAAAAATTATATTTTGAATCTTTTGTTTTTACCTTTAAATTTGTTTCCACTATAATTGTTCTCTTTCTTTATAATTTTATTTTCTTTAACATATCTTTTCCTCTCAACTTTACTTTTTTTTTCTCTAATTTTTTTTTCTTTTTGTCTTTTAAATTTTCTTTCACTATATTTTTTCTAAATCTTTTTTATTTATCTTTCCAAAAGTTTATTTACATCTCTCTAAACTTGTATATTTATGTGCATGGTCGAACCCCAAAAATAGGAAATGCATGTCTCGACCCTGTCCTCGTCCTAACTTCATTTTTTAAATAATTAATATATATTTATTACACTTTTTTATACTTGAATTCTAAAAATAATTAAAAACAATTATAAAACCGATAATTTTCTCGACAACATCTCTCAGACCGAAGAACGAGGTAGAGACGAGGACTAAAAATTTTCACAAGCACGAAAATGAGGGAGAGCATCCTCACTCGCACCCACACCGTTGTCATCTCTACTCTACATAGAATTTCTACTTTTTAAAAACAGAAAACTAAAAATAGTTACCAAACATGTTTAACCAAAATGGTTATCAAACAACCCTTAGTTTCTAATAAATATGATTAGGGTTTATCCCATTTTTTAAGTTTAATAACATAACACATCCATCAACATTATATTAGTATACATGCAACACAAAAATCAAATGCTTTAAATGGCACCTAAAGGCCCATTTGATAACGTTCATGTTTCTTATTTCTTTATTTTTAATAAAGAAAAATGTATTGCATAGTTTCAAACTCCAAGAATTCAAATATGATAAAACAATCCTGTTATTTATGTTTTGGAACAAATTGAAAATAAAAATGTTTTATGTTTTGGAACAAATTGAAAATAGAAACAAGAAAGAAGAAACTTATTTTTTGTTGTTTCCAAAATTTTTCTACGATTGTGAGAATATTYCCAAAAAAGTAGAAAGAAACGAAGTTAATTGTAAAATGCTTAGATTTCTTAAGAACATTGGAAACGAAAAATGAGAAACAGGAACGTTACCAAACGGACTCTAAATTGATAACTTAATATTTTTTTATTGCTAAATCTCAAATTTTAAACACTCATTTAATCTCCCAAATTATTCACTAGATTAAAGTTTTATTTACTTACTCAAATCATTTCCATTCATTTATATAATTTTCTCAAAAATTTTGTTAATATCGAAATTTTTATATAAATATTACTTCTGCTTTTAAATAAATTTTTAAATATGATGATTGAAAATGATCCATCAGTGCCTAATTAAGCCACAGTCAAAATATCCTTCACAAATTAAAACAATTCTCATCAATTTCCATGAGTTTAATCATTTTTTCCGAAGTTTATATCAACATTTCTATCAACATCAACCTTTTAAACGTTACATAATATACTACCAAACCAAGTTTTAGTAAGTTTAACTCATGACTAACCTTAAAAATACGACAATACGTCTAAGAGAGGACTTTTCCGCAGCCTCTGTGATGCCTTCGTTCTCTCCTTTGTACTTTTTGATATTCCTCCTCCTCTTGTAGGTACTTTTTCCTTTCTCGAAGAAGATCGTTTCGTGCTACTCGTTGCAGCTCCCTTGATTTTTCATATTTTTTCTTTACATATCCCAGCTTAGGTTAAGCGAGATTGCACCACTCGTCCTTCTCGGCAAGGTCGTTGAATTGCCAGCTCAATTGATGAGCTTACAGCTCACTTAAGCAAATATTTCCAGCAGCAAAAAGGAAATCAAGGCTTCAACTACAACTTGGTTCATTTACTTTAGCTATGAACCATACTTCAAATTCAATCAATTTCATGCCAAGTAAGTTCAAATCAAGACCAAAGCAACTTGGTTCTAATCATAGCAAAATTTGTAGGAAATTAAGGCGTGATTAATGAGCACTCCTAGTCTCTAACTCCAAGTTAGCAAGAGATGAGCAAAACTTTTGTAGAAGATAACTCTTTATTCAAGAGTTATCAGCTACGCTAATCCAAACTCCCATATCAAAACCGTGAACCAAACGAGCCCTTATTGTACTTTATCATGTCAATCTCTAATTAGTGATAGATGAATTTATTGGAAAATTATCCATAATCCAATGACCGAAAAAAAAGAATGAAATGACAACTAATCAAGTAGAGGCCATTAATTGACTTCTATTGTAACTGTTCCACATGACCCATTACAATAGACAGTACAGTAGTATAGAAGACATCAGTAATATTACACAAAATTTCCAAAAAATTTCCAAAGTACAAATATTATATCACCTAGAATAGAGTGGTCAAAGTCTAGAAATCTTGTATCATCTAAAACCTTATTGTTAACCAAAAAAAAAATGTGTTTTATGTATTGAAAGCAATCGGAAGCAATTCTTACGAGAAAAAAGCATTTAAAAGAGAAAAATAAAAAATAAAATAGAAGTTTAAGTTTAAGAAGCACGCCACGCATTTGTTACCCACTTCAACCTCCTTAGCCAGTGGCTAAGCCGAAATGCGCTGCTCCACTGTGTGTTCCAACGCTTAATAATTTTAACAATTTTGACAAATCATTTCTAAGAAAATTATCTAAAAATCAACTAATAAACTATTAAACCTATCAGCTGACATAAGTGCCAACAACATAATTACAAGAACTTTGAACAATCATGGCCAAAACAAACATCTAATAGGGAAGAAAATAATGAACGCCAACTTATAGTTAAGAGGATATGGGTTGGTTTTAAATCCTCTTTTATCCCTTAAGGTTTTAATTATTTTTTATTTTGATTCATAAAGTTTCAAAATGTTTGTTTTAGACCTTGTTTGATAATCGTTTAGCTTTTCGTTTTCTATTTCTAAAAGCTAATGTTTCATTTCTCGCCATTTCTTGATATGCTCTTAACATTTTTTTTTTTTTTAAAACACATATGCTCTTAACGTTTTTTTTTTTAAAAACACATTTGAATTCCTAGCCAAATTTCAAAATGAAGTATTTAAAAACTACTTTTCCAATTTTCAGAATTTTGCTTAGTGAAAAGAAAATGATTTTAAAAAATATATAACAAGACAAAGGACCACGAAAGTAAGTAGTGTTGCTAGACTTGATTCTTAAAAACAGAAAAATAAAAAAATCAAATAGACATCAAACGGGGCCTTAATCTCTAAACTAAACGAAGAAAAAAAAAGGATTTTGAACTTTATTATTATTTTGCCACCTAATGTCCGTTCATTCAATAGCTGCTCCTTAACTAACCAATATGACTCCAATACACGTTCACGTCTATATATCAATACACCATGGTTACAGTTTTGGGACTAAAATAAAACAAACTTTAAAGTTTTAGTTCAAAAATATACATTTCAAAAACTTTAGAGACACAAATGGGAAACAAATCCATTCTTGAACCAGATGTTAGCAGAGAGATGGAAAGACCAGCTCATGTTAGTGCTGCCCGAAACCAAAAGCCCCGAAAACAGAGGAATTAGCTGAAGAAGTTAAGTGTCAAAATTTAGCAGACAGTTTGTTGGGCCACATACTTCACATGACTTAACTACCTCCCTA